GAGCCGCCCTGCGGCCGGGTCTTGGCGGGGTGCGGCACGGCGCCGCCAGGCGGGGCTGGCCTGCCCATTTCCCCCTCGGAGCCTGGCTGCCCACTGCTTCCCTTTTATACGTGTGTCTGTGTGCTTTTTTTTTTGGGGGGGGGGGTAATTTTGTTTTGGCCTTCCAAACTAATTTGCTAGACGTGGTATTGAAGATGGAATTAGCTAGCGAGACATTTTCGGGAGTCCTCTGTGCGAGACAATTAGGACGCATCTAATAGCAGTAACCAGGCCTTAAAAGCAAACCAAGCTGTTCAAACAAACAAACAAAAAACTGGGGGGGGGGCGAGAGGTGTGCCCCAAGTTGCCTTGAGCTGTTTTGGAACAAAGTTCAGGGCACGCGTGGCCGGACTCCTGGTTCTTCCCGCCTTGCTGGGTGGGGTGGTGCGCAGGGTAAAGAGCACAGGCCTTGGAGTATGAACGCCTGGCCTTGCTATTTACGAGCTGTGAGATCTTGGGCGAGTCTAGAGTCTCAATTTCCTTCTCTATAATGAAAGGTTTGGATCAGACGACCTTCTAAAGCTCTTGTCTGCTCCGGATCTCCAATCATCCTCGGAGAAGGTACAGTGTGTACAGATAAGCGTTATACCAGGAGTTGAGGAACTTTCTTTTGAGGCAGGGTCTCAGGTAGCACAGGCTGTCCCCGAACTCAGTATATGTCTTAGGTAAATCTCCACCTCCCGAGTGCTCGGATTACAAGCATGTAACATATGCCCAGTTTTTAACCATCCTTAAACCGCGCATCTGTATCCTAAAGATCTTTTTGAGGAGTGAATAGGAAGATGAGTTGTTTTGGGGTTCACTGAGGACTTCGAGAAGCGCTACGCATCTGCCAAATCACATCCCAGTCCTCAGTTTCCTTATCTGTGAAGTGGGGGCGTGACTAAGGAAAGAAAAATAAGAGCCGGGAACTCAGACGCTTTCCCGGGGCTCTATATAGAGCTCTGGCGTTTCCGGGACGGCTGGCGGCATCTGGCCGCCCCAAGGGCCCCAAGATACGGTAATCCCAAACAATACTCGGGGTCATTGTTTACAGTTATAAAACACATTCTGTCCTGAGCTCCATCCCCAAGGACTCGCGCGCGTGGTGAGCCGCGGTGGCCAGACAGCTCGCATTTCTGCAGCTGCTCTCCCAGCAGAGTGCAGCTCTGCAGGCCCGCGAATAGGGTGTGGGGCGGGCGTACACGCACGCACCAACCGTGGGTGCCTGGCTTTTTTTTTTTTTGTTTTCCTTTTCCCTTCATCCCTGCGTCCTGGCCTGCCTGGGTGTTTACGCGCCTCTCTCAGCAGGACTGAGTAAATGCAGTCCTTTGACGCAAAACCGATCAGCCCTGCCCCAGCAGCGGCAGCAAACCCCAGAAAACTGGGGGTGGGGACGGGGGCAGGGCACAGAAAAAATCGTGACACTTTCCCACTCGCCTCGCCCTGTGCCGCGCGGGCCCTCGATCGCCCTAGAGAAATTGGGGGTGGGGGGGGGGTTTGGAACGTGAACAAACTGGGGGCGCGGCCGGGCTGCATAGGGGCCTCCCCGAGGAACCGCGTGTCACAGCAGCAAGAATAGACGCACTTTTGGTTTTCCTTTGAGCGGCACCGGCTGTCCAGCCCTCCCCCAGCCCGCACTCAATAATCGTGTGCTTCTGGGTCTCTCCCACACAGTCCTTCCAGTAACGCGGGGGGAAAAAGGAGGGGGAAGGAGAATAGGAGCTTCCTCCAAGGCCTCCGCCGTCCCGGGCGCGCCCAGCCACCAGCAGGCGCCGCCGGGAGCGCGCCTCCGGGCCAGCGCAACCTCGCGCCCTCGCCCGCCCCCGCCCGGACCCGCTTCCCCGGTCCTTTCCTTTCTTGTGGCTTCCCGTAAAGCCCAGCAGCCCCCAGACGTCTGCAGAGCATCACGGAATCTGTGCTGATGCAAGTCGCCGGCCTCCCTTTGGTGCGCCCCGGCCTGCCTGCGAGAGCTTTGATCCCTGCCTGGCCCCGCTCCCGAACGTGTGCTGGTTGCCCCGTGCCTGCCCGGAGACCTGCGTTCCACAGTCTAGGCCACCTTTCAGTCCTGTGGCACCAGAGGCAGAGCTGCGCCCCAGTGCTGCCCCGGGATTGGCCTCCCTGACTTCAGTGGATGCCTGAATTTTGCCTTATCTAAACCCAGTTCGGCGGCGCCGACGTGGGAAGACATTCCCGGGGGCACGCAGTTAGGAAGGGCCTGGGGTAAGATGCTAAGACCGGGGATTAAGCCCCAGTGTCTCAAATCTTAAAGAAAACAGACACCGTCTCTTGTAATCCTCACAACAAACATTTGAGGTGGCTCTCATTCCCAGGTGTCAGTTCAAGAAAGTAACGTTAAGTAACTCGTCCAAGGGAACTGGTTGGTCAGTGTGCAGTAACGAGTTGGGAGTACACCCTGAATCTGACCGATTCTGCCCGGTCCCTCCGCCCCCCGCATTACCTGCCTCCTACCGGAATGTCTTTCTGGCTTTCTAAGCCTGGACTTCATTTGTTCATGGCTTTAACTGATACTTAAAAGTGCTCTTTCTTTCTCTTCTGAGTAAATATGTGGAGGGAGGGAAGGTAGGAGAGCAGCCGAGGTGAGGAAAAAAATAATAGTCCGGGCTGATTCTTCATTGCCTCTCTGGGTGTCTGGACCCTCCCACACCCCTCACCCCCTGCCAGTTGCCTTATTTGCCTGTCCAGCCCAGGCTGCCCTTGAAAGACGCGTTGATTCTTACAGTGGTTGTCACCCATCAGAGCACTAAGCACTTCGGAAGACCTTCGAAGTGCTTGGCTTCACTTGTCTTACAGCATCCCTAGGAGGAGCTTGGACAGCCGTTGGCCAGACCCCGGATTGTCAAAAGCAAAGCCAAAGAAAAAACGGCAAAGCAGCCTCCTCAGTATGGTCCAGCCTGTGGATGTTTGCCGCTGAACGCAAAGCCGACTCACATGACCTTAAACCCAAGATTCTGCCAACCTTGACAGTCTCCAGATTCTGCTCCTCAGTGAGAAACCTACCCTCCCACACTGCCGGGAGGATTCTGCAATCATAACCATATAGTAAACAGTGCATTCGGATGCTGTCTTAACGTTCCCGAACACATTTCAATTTGAAGCCCGAGTCTTGGTTAGGGTTCCTACGCTGTGGTAAAACACCACAACCAGAAACAGCTTGGGGAGGAAAGAGGGTTTAATTTTTGCTTAGTCGTCCACATCACAGAAGTCCTGGCAGGAACTTAAGGCAGGAACCTGGAGGCAGGAACCGAAGCAGAGGCTGTGGAAGAATACTGCTTACTGGTTTGTTCCTTCTTTAGTCTGCTTTCCTATATGGTCCAGGACACCTCCCCGGCCCGCCCCTGGGTGGCATGGCCCCCAGTAAGCTGGACCCTTCCACATCAATCTTTAATCCAAAGAATGTGTTACAGACTTGCCTCCAGGCAATCGGATGGTGACATTTTTTCTCAGTTGAGGTTCCTCTTCCTAGTAACTCTAGCTTCTGTCACGTTGTCCCAAAAACAAAAACAAAGAACAAGCAAAGACAAAAACACCCAGGACAACCTGTTTAATATAGAAGTTCCTGAGTTTTCTAAGGACCTACCTATACATTTGTCAGGAGGCCCTCAGCAAGCAGGTTTCAGATCAAATGGTTCAAAGGAAAAGGTCATTGTGGTGAAGCTTCTTGGGAGGTGGTTGGGGGGGTGGGAGGTGGGGACAGTCGGGGTGGGGTGAAGAAACAGGGAACTTGATATATCTAGTATCTGGCGACAACTGAAAACAGACCACCAGTAGAGTGGCAGGGAGAAATACCCCCGTTAAACTGTTCAGAGCCACTAATCCTGAAGGGGGTGTGTTTGTGTCTGTCAAGTGTGGGGTTCCAGGAAAGGCCCAGAACTGCTATTGTTCCAAAGGGACCCACAAGGGAGTGGGGTGCGGAGTGAACTAGATGGCTTTTCCCTTTGTGGCCAAACACTACCTTCTTGAGGACTAAAGGGCACTTAGAGCGTATGTATTCTGAAATAGAACACATACACTTCTCCCGACATATACTGGAGATCTACATAATCATAAGCTATGAAGACAAAAACCAGCATGGTGGCATACACCTATAATCTCAGGAGAAAGCAGGAAGATCAGGAGTTCAGGGTCATCCTTTATCTACATAGTGAGTTGAAGACCAGCCTGGGCTACGTGAGCCTC